CGACGATGAAAAGACCTGGGATAATGAGGTCGACCCCTTCCATGGCTTTGAGCGCCATCTGAGCGACATAGTCGTTGATCTTGTCGATACGGCGACCCCAGCCAATGATAGAGACAATCGAGCACGAGTACCTCTCAACGCTCATGACAAAGTCATCTGGCTTGTCCAGCAGATCGCGGACCAGAATCTTGGATTCGTTGGCCTGAATCGCGCGCCAGGGTCTTATGGCTTGTGAGCCCGTTGCTGAATGCTGCTCGAGAATAAGTTAAACGGTTCGGTGGCGAGACAATTCTGTACGTACCATTAGGCGACGATGAAGGCGCCACTTGTCTCCGTAAACAAGGCACACCTGGTTACTCTCTGTCGCGTTAATCATGTCACCCATAGCGATCATATGAGGTCGAGAAGAGTAAATGTTTGCTCGCTTGTCGAGCAGATCGGATATTGTCCAGATGTCGTTGCACATAATCGTCGGCCTGTGGCCCTGCCAGATGGTGATCATGGGGTCCTTGTAGTATTCCGACCATTTCTCGAAGTCGATCCATGGCTTGACTTTGGGAATCTGGTAGAAGTTGCCAACAAGCGGCCAGGGGAATGGTCCAGGGGGAAGCTTTCGACGCAGTCGAAGGACTCGGATGTAGTCAACAAGGATGAATATCACCGGCAAAGAGATCACCCCAATGACCGCTGCCCGCAGGAGGCTGTAGGAGTCAAAGCTAAGTTCCGTGGTGCCCCGAGCACCCGACAAGTTCTGGAGAACACCCATTTTGCTTCTCTGGCTTCAATAACGGACCAGAAACAGCTTCGGGCAATACTGCCACAAATATAGTCTGCATCTCCTCTCTGTCTTTGAAAGATCCAGCAGCATAAGTAGAGAGAGCACGGCCACAGGGTCCCACATGATTGATGTTCTGCCTGGATGATCCTTCGAGACAACAAAAAAGACGCCCACATGAAGTCGCCGACAGCTGAATCTTTCATGTGGAGAAGGGATTCTGAATCCGTGCCACGCCTCCAGGCTTTGTTCGTGGAGAGGCTTGTGGGGTTGACGAAGCGTCTCCAATGCTTCAGTCAAGGCCAAGCCGAGATCCGGGGTATTTTCCGTGCTTTCGTACCTTGTACCCTTCGGCAGTTGAGGGGGCATTGCGCAGCTGAGCTTGGTGGTCGTCTGGGGTTTGCAGTCATCTTGTCTTGATAAATGGCGGTCAAAAGCCGAGGGACGCTCCAACAACCTTGAGCATCGTTTCCATCAAGCGAGCTGCAAAGAAGCCGCCCACAAAACCATGGCCCAACTGGAAGGCTTCCTCACACGTTACGCTACCACCCTCTCACCTACGATCCTGATTGGGAGTTTGGTGGGGCTTTGGGTTGTGTACAATGTCTTTGTCGCTCTTCGAGACCCCCTGCGGTCGGTGCCTGGACCCTTTTTGGCCAGGTTCACAAGGCTGTGGTACCTGAGAGAGGTAGACTTCTTCCAAACTCAGAGATGATCGTCGTTGATCCTGACATCTCCAGGTGGCTCGAGGTCGATTCGAGAGGACGAATATTGCGCTCCATAGGAAATACGGTACTGAACTTGCACCTTGCCGAATTCTTCGCTGTGGCTTTCGAGCTGACCTTGCCAGGACCGATTGTGCGAATTGCACCAAACTATTATTCCATCGACGACGCAGACGCCATCAAGACCATTTACGGCCATGGGACAAACTTCGTCAAGGGAAAATGGTACATCGCCTCCAACAACCCCAAGAACAAGCATCCAGATCTCTTCACCGACCTCAACCCCGAGTCCCATGCCATCAACAGGCGCAATGTCGCGTCGTTGTATTCGATGACGAGCTTGGTCGCTATGGAGCCGAATGCTGTTGCGTGTGCCGAAATCCTGGTCCAGAAATTCACCGAGTTCGCAAAGAATCACAGCGCTATCAACCTGCAAGTCTGGCTGCAATACTGTATGTACCGTCGAATCTGTGCTGGAGCTGCAACACGAAATATCTTGACAAGAGTCTCCTGGCTAACGACACATCAGACGCTTTCGATACCATAGCACTCATCACGGTAGGTCAAGCCTCTGAGGTTCGCTCCACCTGGTCTGCTGAGGTTAACACATCTCCAGCTCAGCAAACGATTTGGCTTCTTGGACACCGGCAAAGACAATGGCAATATGATCGCTGCCCTGCACTCCTACCTCCTTTACCTCTCAAAAGTGGGCGTGTACCATGAATGGCACTATTTCCTCAACTGGATTTTGTCAATGTTGCCCAATGGTGGAATGCATTACATGGGTACGTTCATGCAGCAGCAGGTTCTGGAAGGCCAAAGACAAAAATCCAAGCGCATTCTGGAGAAAGACGAGTCGAAGCCAACAGACGACTTCTTGACAAAGCTGCTGAGGATGCACGCCTTGCAGCCGGATAAGTTTCCCATGGAATCAGTGTTCTCGACCTGTGGGACGAATATTGGTGCCGGGTCAGACACCACGTCGGTCAGCCTGGCGGGTATTTTGTACCACTTGATGAAGGCCCCTGCCGTGATGGAGAAGGTAAGACGAGGATGAAGTCTTGCAGAGTTCAAACAACTCCTGGAGTTCCATCATTTTATGCGTGCAGAAGACCAAGCGTGCTAACCGCGTGTGTAGCTGCGACAAGAACTCGATCAGGCGATCGAAGAGCGCGGGTCAAACGACATACTTTCCTTCCAAGAAGCACAGAAACTGCCCTATCTCCAGGCCGTCATCAAAGAAGGCCTTCGCTGCCATCCAGCAACTGGTCTCCCTATGGTCCGCGTCGTTCCCAAGGGTGGCGCCCACATTGCTGGGAAGTATTTCCCCGAGAAGGTGAGATTTCAGCTTCCTCTCCCGGTACTCTGGGGAAGGACTCTCTCAAAGTAGTAGTGCTGATGTCTTGAGCGACAGACCGAGGTCGGCGTGAACAGCTGGGTCGCACACTCCAACAAGAAGATCTTTGGCCCAGACGCTGAAGAGTTCAGACCCGAGCGCTGGCTTGAGTCTCCTGAGAGAGCTGCAGAGATGACTCGCTATAACCTCACGGTAAGCGAGGCGTTCACCTAATGCCCACCCTCCCACTTGTGTTCTCAGGCTGATGTTGTCGAATAGTTTGGAGCTGGATCCCGGACCTGCATCGGTAAAAATATCAGTCTGCTCGAGATCTCAATCCTGATCCCCGAGCTGGTGAGGAAATTTGATTTCACGCTTGTGGATCCGAACAGGCCCCTGGAGATAGAGAATGCCTGGTTCGTCAAGCAGAAGAACTTGGACTGTTATGTGAGTTTGAGGAAGTAGCATTGAGTCTTCAAGCGTCCAGATTTTGCCGAAGCAATATAGTGGGATATTATGGATGAATATATCAAGTTTCGCGGCTGCAAATTTGCGGAGACTGACCTTGGAGAAGTCGACGCACTCTATATCTGAGGCTGGAGTCTGTGACCCTCTTGTCCACAGCATTGCGCTGAGAGCCGACAGTTGCAACTTGTGTCGATACAAACTTGGGTGTCTTAGCAAGCTGCCTGGGGGGCCACCCACCAGACCAGCACCACCGTTCAAGCAGGACGGTGGACAGCCTATCGTAAAGAGGCCCATCGGGTTGCGGCTAGTTACGACTTCTGGGGAATCCCGAGGCAGTCAACCCAATCGACTTGCTTGTAGCGTGTAAAGGTAGCTGCCTCCTGACCAAGGCAGCAAGGCTGAGGTCTCTGTAGGGGCGAGGATCCCACGCCAATGAAGGCAGCTCTAATGATTGGCCCAGACCTCCACGACAAGGGGGCAAACAGCTCGCCAGCCTATCGTTGACCTTTGTCGCGCTGCACAGCCTTTAAGCAGTGACCGGGGTACCAGAGCCTTTCGAACAAAAGTCGTTGACATGGATATATAGACCTGCGCCCTAATGCTGGAGGGAAGATGCTCCTCCCCATACCATCATCGACAGCAATCACCGCGACAAAGTGATCCAAGAGACCCAGCATCAACACACAATACCATTTCCTGCATCACCCTTCTCTTGTTCAGCAAACCTCTTCTGCAAATCAGACAGACTCTTCCCCCGGCTTCGTGTGGATTCAGCCTTGCAGAACGCCTCCAAGCAACCTGAAGCAACCTAGCCGCCTACTAGACCCCTCCAAGGACACCGCCACACTCAAAGGATCCACGATGGCTCTCACACTGGACGGCATCATGACTATTGTGTTTGGTGTCTTCATGGCCATCATGTCTCTTGTGTCGTTGTGGCAGGCGGCACACTTCGCCGCACGTGGTCATCGAAGTGAGTCCGACGCCGTCTCGATCGATGAGGCTTTCGAACTAACCCAAGTGTAGCTCGCGACCCTCGAGTCAACAGCTTTGAACTGGAGGCATGACTCTGATGGTGACGGCATTGTACAACATCACCTTTGACAACAATAGCATCAGAGCGGCATTCTTCATCAAATATCCAGCCACGGTGTTGTGGTCATGAGGAGGTACTGGAGGGGGCAATGGCGCCAAAGTGTTTGAAGATTTGTCCGCTACTGGGTTTAGTTATGCTTTCCGCCAAGGTCCATCCCGTTTGCCCACCGACAAGCTGGTGAAGCGCAGGGAATCAACAAGGAGTTTGCTATTCACAATGGAAGGACGAATCAGATGGCACAGCATAGAAATGAGCCGATTTGGCCTCGCTAGGTAGCAGCCAATCCAGCCATGATTCGCACCCAGCATATTCTCGCAGACACCATCCATAACACAGAGGTTGGAACTGGCAGATAATATTAGAATAGACACTACCTGTTTGATCTGTTTAGATTCGTGACAAGGTCATCAACACCAAAACATTTTCTCATGTTGGTGATTTTTGTGTACGATCCCCCAACACCGCATTCCACCAGCCATGCACGTTCTGGACGCGGACCAACCAAGGGAAAAAAGTCTGTACAATAACCGAATCTGCACGCGCGATATATCTCAATCTCCCTGTGCCACCATCGCTAGCATCGTGGAGAAACTGCAGCTTCTATGATCCGTACTCCTTGTCGTGAACAAAGCTGCCTCTGCTCCTTGTGCTTCTACTCCTTCGGCCTCGGAACGTGAAACCTCGTGACTTGGTTGTTCTGGGTTCGCGACGTGAGGATCCGCCCATACAGAAGAGGACAGTGCAAATGAAGAAGCACGCAAATGCAGCCCATTCAAACCCAAAGGCGTACTTTCCAATGTCGGAAGCTTGACCGTTGTTCCGGAAGTTGTTGCGGCCTTTGACGTACGCGGCACTGTAGACCCGTTAGCACACTTGCGCATGGCACACAGCATACATGGACTCACGTCATAAGAGATGCCTGGATTGCCTGGAAAAACATGGCCATCATGCTCAAGAGACCACTGAGATAGGAGCCCAATCTGGTGCACAGGGCGAGGAGGCCAGTAAACAACGCGCATACGCCGAAGAAGAGCGCAATGAGCATGAAAGCAAACATGAAACGAGTCATCAAGAAGTAGTACCCATGACGCTCAACAAAGTTCCGAGGGACATTCACCGTGGTGTCAAAGGTTCGGTGAGACGCAGGGTCCAGTGGAAATGCCGGATGCACATCTGAGTAGTGCTGGTCGCCGCAATGTGTGCGTCCGTTCTGAACACCGCACACGTTCCAATATGACCATCTTGACACGGGAGGAGCTCCCGGAATATTTGCGGTATCTGCTTGTAGAATGTAGAATTTGTTGACAGGGCCATGCTCAACTGCGCCCGCGAGGAGGATGAAGAACATAAACAGAAGGCCAGCGGCGAGGAGGATTAGCGATGCCAGGCCAAAGAGACCGTTACCTGTGACGCGGCAGTCAGTACGAGGTACCTCGGGATCGTCGTCTGCAGGACCAAGCTTCACTTACGGGACGCCATGGCGGCGCAGTGAGTTTGAGGGTGGCTGGAGCTTGCAGCAGAGTGCCCAACGGCGCGACGAGATACGAAATGTAGAGAAGGGTGGCCTGGAGGGACGGTTTAAAAGGTGGGAGATGTGTGTTGGGAGCGATAGAGGAAGCAAGCGCGGGGTGTAAAGAGTAGATAGCGGTGGTGTGGGAGGAGAAGGTGCTCTTGTACTAATGCAGCAGTGGTAAGAGAGCAAGAGAGCTTGTGATGTACGTATGTTGGTCGCTCGGTATGCAGGCAGTAGATGTAATGCTGTGTCTTGGATGAGGTCACCCAACCAAAGGAACCAAAGGAACTGACCACCCACTAGAGCTTGGATCCTTCCCGTCTCTTGGAGTGACAGCCGACTACTGGAGGTACATTTACCGGAGAGCTTGGAAGACTGTGGAGAGGGACCAGGATAGGGAAGCCGGAGAGGGCCATAGGTAGTGGTACTGCAAAATTGTTGGAGAAGGTTTAGAGGGCACCCACAGCGCCCAAGATGGAGAGTACAGGGACGGACAATAATGACGGCCTGCCCCCTAAGACTCAAGCGCAGGCCCCCCCCCACACCGACTCCAAGGGCATCAACTTGGGCTCCAGGGCTTTTCCCGTGGACTCTTGGATGCCTGCTTGGGCAGGCGATGACGCACCTCCAAGCAAACTGAGTTAGAGGTCCAACACTGTAGCGCAGCATGCTGCAGCACAACAATTCACCACGTCATCAACAAATGCTCCACTTAGTGCCACCTTCAGGCAATGCTAGTTCCTAATATGGCTAGTTTCCGTGATCGGGCTCCAATAGCTGAAAACTCTAATCCTCGCCAATCCTCCCATCTTGGCCAAGCTGGAAAAACACCGGTCCGCAGTCTTGCAGTCTCACATTCTCGCAGCTTCACTGGTGATGTCGGTGACCCTTTGGTGCCATCACCTGATATCGAACCATCCTTCCACCTGGGGCCAGCCTTGCTTCCTCGGACAGTACTTTGCAAATCACTCATTATTGTCCTGCTTCCCCATGTTTAACACATCTTTTATTTTCTGACTATCGAGGTTTCCACAATGTCCACATGGGTCTATCCTCCATTACCTCCCGACGAGCTTCGAAAGGCCGAGAATGACTCTTTGGTATGGTTGAACAAGTGACAAATTGTCCATACACTGACTTGCCCTCAGAAACTTGAGCTGCGATGGCTCCTGGAGTCGCTGCAACGTGCCTTGCCTGCTCTCAAAGAAGCTCTGGAGGAATGTGCTGCACTGTTGGCGCCGAAAGAACCCGGATCGACACTGGTCCTGTCATCACTCAGATCCGAGAGTGTAAAAGGCTTTGTAACAAGGGTTGGCACCAAGCTTCTCAAGGGCGTACGCTGGCCCCCTAAAATTCCCCGAACCTACCTGGTCTGAAAGCGTTACAGGACATCCATCTTCGGCTGACTACGTTGCCACCAAATACCCCAAGAGGTACCACTACTTCCACACCCTCGACTCGCCTGATGTTCCATTCCTCCTCTTCATCCTCCGAAATTGTCCTCTCTCAACTGTCAGCCGTCAAGTCTTTACTCAATGATTCACTCGACGTAATCGACGTGTCAAGGTGGACCGGCCAATCGACTGACTCCTCCTTCATCTCGGGCCAATTGAAGTTGCTACATGACCATTTGCGTGAAGCCAAGGCCTATTTGAGAGGTCCAGTGACCGGTGCCGATATCTCCTCTATCCCAGGGGCTGAATGGTGGCTAAATAGCCCCGATGAAAACGTGTTCCAACCACCGTTGGGTGAAAACCTCAGTTTGCACTTTACGATCCAGGAAGCCAATCTTGTTCTCACTGTCCGAACCCTCGCTCCAACTTCCCCTGGTGGAACTCCCAGCACCCCTTCCGAGGGATCTTTCTCGCTCTCTGGACTCAACCTCAGGACGAGGTTGCTGGGGTTAGGTCCCAAGCCTCCAACTCACGACGAAATGGGTGAAATCTTTGAGTGGCGCGGACGGCAAGATGTGATCGTCCGTGAAAAGGTTCGAGTGGAGACGAGCGATCCCAGTCTGCTCAGCATTGCCGCAAAATTGAGTGCGCTGGAGCATGAGGTTGGCCGTTGGAGGATGAATCTTCGCATCATTCTGACGGGCAGTACTGAGGAGGATTGAACTGGATACGCCATCAAGTTTGTGTCTTGCTTCGACTACTGCACGTTCCGCAAAGGCTTGGTTCACCGGTCGACGCTGTGATCTTCACGGTCCATACTCCATACAATTTCCATCCGAAGCCGATAGTCTGGTGGAGCGTTTCACGTGATGTGCAGCTTCGTTCGCGCCAAAAAGTCAAACCTGCAGCGGGACTTTGCCGGTTTTGGCCGTTAGGGAGTTTGGTGCTCCCCAACCTTGCATCCAAGTGCTCCCGCATGTTGCACTCTTACAACCTCAACCTCAGCTGCTCGTTCTCTTCTTGCGATGCTCCGACCAAGGCGCATTCCCTCTCGGCTCGAACAATGACCTCCAACGCAGAAATAGCACACTTTGTGCGCTTCCCATCTCGCGCATAAAGACGAAGTCTAAAATGGCAGCACAGGCGTCGTTGAGGACAAAGACTGTTCCTCCTCCCGACAGTCCTTTGTTCTCGACAGAACCAAAAAACCTGGGCCGGGTTTTTGTTCCTTGCTTTCTTCGACACAGTCTTACCACAAGTAAATCACACGTGGGTACACATATAATATGGCTCCCGAAGTCGTCAATGGGTTCGCCATGGTTGCCGATAAGGAGCGATCTTCTTTAACAAGGCTATTCCATCGACGATTCAGCTCTTCGAGTAAAGTCAACACCAAAATGTCGACTTCCAATACAGGTATGGAGCAAACAGGCGTTGTCCAGAGCGAAAGTTCTGCTCGGATTGAGACCACAAGACCACCTCACCTTCGGCGCCGAATTACGATTGGCGGTTCGGGTCAAGATGCTCAAGCTGCCCAGCACACGTCCTTGCCAACAGATACAAGGCATGGCTCAACAACTCTTCAAGGCGGAGGATCCGGATCCCTAACTGCGAAATGCCATTATCCTCCCACGAGCTGGAGGCCCACTCCACCTGCTCAACTTACCGTTTCGGATGTTGAGCGAAACGATCTGTCAGGAAGCGGTTCAAACGGTGGTGAAGACGATGGGACTAGGAAATCATCCACGACTGTCCAAGTCGCAGGACCTCACCTCAACCCTCCTCTCTCAAACAGCACGATGACTGCCAGTTCGCCGGAAAAAGCGAGGGACCCTCCAGCATCATCCAATGGTGAATATCGGTCTTCTCCAGCTCGACCAGGCTCTCGTCGCCGCTACAGTATAATCTCCTCCATGTCCACCAACTCAACAAACGCAGGAATCTCACCGACTAGAACGACCGGCGCATCAACTTTAGGTCGGCGAGCTTCCGGTGGAATCGCCACTCTGCCAGATCCGAGGACTGTGTATGCTCACACGTATCACTACACGGTCTGTGCTCACACATCACCTCCGATGTCCCGACCCCTCAATGTGCAGCCTAAACTCGTGCGGTACAGGGAAGGACTTCTGGCGTATCCCCCATTTCATCTGCGTGGGTACAATGCTGATCAATCAATTGCACCTCCCACGATCTACATCCTGGATGGATCGTGCGCCGACTGTGACATCAAAACACGACGCCACGCCGAGTCAAAGGTCCTGTCTAGATACTCCCATCAGCTGGAAAATCTTTACATCCAGCTGAGTCTTGTTCAGAAGGACATCGCCAACAAGAACCACGACGTCTCGATTCCTGAAAAAAGCGACAGCGCGGTAGCCATGTTTTCATTCCCATCGACCCTAGAACTGGAGACCGAGGCGACCCAAGCGATTCTGGAGATCGAGGATCAGCTGGACCAATTGATCAGTAGCCGTGATCGTGAGGTTAGACAGATTTGGAACGGATACACTGCGAGGTGGGGTCCGGCAACAGTTGGAATTCACCGCGAACACAAGACTCGCGAAAGAAGTCAAGCAAGAGCCGCCGTCACATCGGACAGCATGTCTCAGGACACTGCAGCCTCATCAACCGGCTTTGATGTCCCTTTAAGTGATCACAGTCCCGGCCGAAGTCGCACGATGACCACGCTGAGCACGAAACCAGCCTCTCACGTGAGCCGAAATAGCAGTTCCGATACCCACGCGCGCACCAGATCTGTCGGCGGTCCACAGGAACGATATTCGGACGGAACATATGGACTTAGCGTTGACTCGTCAGTGGATGGTGTCAAAGGACGGGGTCGTATGGTGGTCGATTGGATCCGGCCGTCACGACGGGAAGGTAGGAGCAGGAGTGTCGCCGGGGCCACAAGCCGGACAAGCAGTCGAAACGTGCCAGATAAATGAAAACGAGGACAATCAACAAGGAACATGGGATGCAAATCTTTTGGAATTTCGCACCATGGGCAATCGGGAGAGTCGAGACACGCATCATTTGGGTAGGTATATTGAAAGGGACATTTAACAAAACGCCAATCACAAAGGGAAAGCAAGGCTGGGTAAAACAAAAGAAACGCGGATTCATTGCCATTTTCAAGATGGTTTTACACGGGGCTGTCATACTCGGGATATACCACAAAAGGGTAGGAGGCATTCTGCGACAATTGTCATGGCGGCGGATCATGTATGTGCAATAAATGAATGACACGACCAGACCAGACCGGACGGCGAGACTGGGAGGGAATTACCAGCATACCACCATTTCAGAAAGAGGGATAGCGAAGCTGGAAAGAATGAAAAGGGAAAACCGACAAAAAAAAAAAAACGGACCGGACAGATTTACTCCATGTATATAGATAGCATTCAAGAAACGAACGACCGACGACAATGATGAATGACGATGACAACAAATAACAGCTATAAACGATGAAGAACGCGAATTTTGGATCGAGTGCCACACAGTCTTTTGGATTTTTATGTCTATTCTAGTAGACCATTCAAGCCATTTTCCCACTCGGTTTTGTTTCCCAG